AGGAAGGAAGGAAGGAAGGAAGGAAGGAAGGAAGGAAGGAAGGAAGGGAAACACTGGTATCGTATAAGAAACAAGGCATAGACTTAAAAGAAGGAATGACAACAGCAAAAGGCGGGAATTGAAACAGTGACCCAAAGCCCTTGTTGATAGCGCAAACTCTACAGAGCATTCACGCTCAAGGTGCAGACGGAATTTAAAAGTGATCATTTTATTTTGATTATTATAATGATGAGAGAGGAGGCGTATGCCACGGTCTCAGATGGAGATCAGAGGACGGCTGGCAGAGTCGCTCCTCTCCCCCATCACACGGTCCCAGGAGTCAAAACCAAGTCATCGGATTGCCATGAAATGTGCTTTCGCCTTCTGAACCACTGCACTGGCTCTTTTTGGGTTTTTGGGAGAATGTCTTGTGTAGTTCAAGCTAGCTTCAAACTAGAGATCCCAAAACGCAGACTCCCTAGTGCCGAGATGGCAGCTGTGGGCCACCATGCCCAGCTGAAAGCCATCATTCTGTAACTCCTAATGACATAACTGGTTCAGGAAAAGGTGAATGGATACTAAAGCAATAAGTAAAGTGCTGTCAAGGAAACAGATGTTTTCATAAAGAATTATATTCAAGTAAGAATGAAACTATGGCTCAGTGGGAGAGTGCCTTGCTTAACCTTGTAGAGGCCCTACAATCAATCCCTAATACTGCAAGAGAAAAGAATCACGCTTATCAAATATAACAACCTCCATAATGTAATTGAAAGAAGTCATAGCTCTTCCTCCTGGCCTATTGTAATTATGACAAGAAAATAGGTAACCCTGGGGTTTGTGTTTTTATTTAAAAACTATTGATTGTTGTGTATATACAGTGTATGTGTGAGTGGAAACAGCACACACGCCAACAGTGCAAGTCTGGAGGTCAAAGGACAACATCCGGGGGTTGGCTGTCTCTTTCCACCATGGGATCTGAGGATTGAACAACAGTAATCAGACCTTTCCAGCGAGAGATTTTTAGCAGCTGAGCCAGGCCGCTGGCCCTGCTAAGCTCCTCCTGTGGGAGAAATCCACCAGCTGAGTTGGCAAGTTGAGTTGCTGTGAGGTTTTTGTGGTTGTTAGGTGAGATTGATGGACAGGGGAACAAGAAGAAGAATGGAAGTAATGATGAGTTTGTATCACTAGATCTCACTAGGAACCTGGAGGGGAAAGGAGCAGGGAAGCAAAGCCAGAGCTTTGTGGATTCCAATTCTTGGTGGTTTGTTTTGTTTTATAGAAATGAAAGATTCATAACAAAAGCTCAAAAAGGAAAAAAATGTTAAAATCAATTATTTGAGATACAAATAAAAATTGGAAATACTTTGAAAGTAGTTGCTGAATGTGTTTGTGGTATATACACACATGTGTACACAGATGTATACAACTATGCATGTGTGTGTGCGCACGCGTGCTCTCAAGAGACAGTACAAAGGCCAGAGGAAGGTGTCAGGTGTCCCCCCTCAATCACTGTCTGCGTCATTCCTTTGAGGAGGGTCTCTACTGAACCCGGCAGCCTGAAAACCACAGCGACCACCCAGTCCTGGCCCCTGCTGTGCTGGGGCCATAGACAGGCCTGACAATGTCTGGCTTGTTATGTGGGTGTTAGGATCCAGACTCTCTGGTCCTGGTGCTCACACAGCAAGCATCCTTAACTGCTGGACCGCCTCTTCAGTCCTTGATTCTTTTCGAATGGGGATCCCTCACATTAATTGGGTCACACAGGTTCTTATTCTACACTCAAATGATGTAATAAATTGTGGTGGTCTAAGGTGCTCGCAGCAAACTTTCCAGCTCTCTTAACAGTGATCTGCCTCCCCTTCTCTTTCACGCACACTTTCTCCTGGAATTGTGTGCTAGATGTCCATGGCCAAAGTTGTAGACAACACCATGGCCTGTGGTTCCTGTGTCCGGTCCTCTACATCCAGGCACACAAAGCCCAGTGTACTCAGCCAATAACAAGAAATGGTCAGCTCCGACTTCTCACTTCCTCATCGTCTCCCCCTGCCACACGCCCAGCTGTCTCTCGGCTCCATTTCTCTCCTCCAAATCTTTCTGTAAAATCATAGAGACCTTCCAGTCCTCCGGGCAGCCCCTCCGCCACTGGCCTCTGGTCTACCAGGCTTCTTTGGGTTTTCCATTCCCAAGAGAGCTGGCACCCTACCCAACACTTACCCTTTTCTCCTGGGGCAACAGGCAACTCATTCTCACCTTCACAGGGAAAATATCCAAGGAATCTTCTGGTCCTTTTGGATGCATACAGGAAGAGAATCTGCTGGAGCAGGGCCACCTTTTCTCCGGCTCTGCATGCCGTCCTGCCTTCTCTCTGTCCACCAGGTGTTCTCTGTGTAGGACACCGGCGGTCAGCAATGCAATGAAACCAGCTCTACCAACTTCCAATTTAACTATAACCATAGATAGGTAGGTAGATAGATAGATAGATAGAAAGATAGATAGACAGATAGATAAGATAGATAGATAGATAGATAGATAGATAGATAGATAGATAGATAGA